CATTCTCTAAATACTTCCTTCTGGATAAATGGTTTTCCTCCCTAGGGATGCCGTACTCTGTTGATTCAATGAATAAGGCGGTGAGTGCGATGTACGATTTTACACACTGTTTCGGGGAAAAAAAAAATGATAAGACTTCCCAAAGCCTTAATCTAATGATACACTTTAGCAAAGGGGTGAGAAGACACCTCTTTGGATGAAGAAGAAGAAAGAAACAAAATAGAAAAAAGTACATATTTTGGTTTAATAATTCTACCTTAAGATGCTTCTAGAAATTTTCAGAGATACAGAAATATATAAGGAATGATATGGGGGAATGAGGCACCCCTGGCAATGCTCGGGGCTTACTCTAGGCTCTATACTCAGGTACAACTCCCAGTAGTGCTGGGGGGACCATGTGGTGCTGGAAATCGAACTCGGGACTCCAATATGCAATTGTGTGTTCCTCCCTTTGAGCTGTCTCTCCAACCCTATCTGTATAGCATTGTATATAACAGCAAACACTGGAGACTATCCAAACATCTGATTTAAGTGAAATGGAATAGTTGGCAGCACTTTGCTCTATTATTGAGCACTCAAAGCTCAATAATTGAATAATGGCTTACTAAATTGTTGAGTAAGAAAAGCAAGGTGCAGAATTGCAAATTTATATGATTCCATTAAAACACATAGGAAAAAAAAACCCTGGGAGAAACTAAAACCACGATATTTACATGTCTCTTGCAATAGAATTATTAGGGGTGATTTTTAAGTTTTTCTCGAGACAGTCTTCTTAGTCTGAGTACTTTTGTTACTAGAAGAAGAAAGCTATTTTATTAGTTTTGGGGGGAAATTATATTGATGATAAAGGAAGATCCACTGGTTCATTATCACTTGTCCTTTATTGCTTCAATTCATAAATAGCCCCTCTCAAATGATAGCGGCTGAAGGAAATACCAGAAATTCCTGGATCTAAGGTTATTTTGGACAGTCTGAACAACAAAGTAGAAAAGAGTCATAGTTGAAGCTTTGATTTGGTTGTGCAAACAAATATTTAGATAAACAGTACATGGAGGATGTCTGCTTTGGCAGAGGCAGTGTTAAACACGCCCTTGCTACCACTTGCTAGTACCAGATGTCCCCTCTCTCTTAAAATAACCAAAAACTAAAACAAACTTCAGATGGCCATTTTAAACACACTGAACCCTATGCAGGAAAGAGAGTAACCTCTGAGTACAAAAACAAAAGGATTAGATGATTCAGAGGTTTCAAACCCTTGCCTAGCAAGTAAAAGGTCAAGAGGTCCAACCCCGGTGCTACCACGTGCAGAGAGGTGATCGTGCTCATGATTTCAGAAAAAAAAACTGCAAAACTATAGACTGTGTAGATAAAAATTAAAAGGTGGTAGGGAAGACTGAAAGAGACTAGCAGGATAGCCATAAATTGGAGAAGAGTTTTAAGCAGCCTAATATAAGTGCAACAAAGTTCAATGAAGGAGAGATGAAAGAAGGGAAAAGAGAAAAGAATGTGATTGATTTTTCTTTCAAATTTCATAAATGCTTTAAGAACTTGACATATTGAAGGCAAAAGAAGCATGAGATAAATTATAGTGAGGCACATTGTAAACGACTTGCTTAAAACTATTGATAAAAGGTAAGACAGGGCATAAGGCACTTGCCTTGCATGCACCCAGGTTTGATCCCTGGCATCACATAACGGTCACCTGACCACCACCAAGAGTCACCCAAGAGCAGAGAGCCAGGAATAAGACCCGAGCTCCACTGGGGGTAGCCCCAAAACACAAAACTTGAAAAACAAAAAGAGGAGGGCTAGAGACATGATACAGCAAGTAAGGCTCTTTCCTTGCGCAACACTCCATATGGTCCCCAAAACTTCCAGGAGTGATCCCTGAGTGCAGAGCCAGGAGTAAACCCTGAGAACCACCAGGTGTGGGGGGAAAAAACAAATTAATTAATTAAAAGGGAATCGCCCCCAAATAGCCAACAACTAAATTCTTTAAAGCTGGTCCTATGAAAAGATTTTTTTTAATGACAAACTCTAGGCTGATCCAAAAAGAAAAATGAGAGAAGACATAAGTAATCAAAGTCAGGAATGATTCCACATATATTAAAAGTATAATAAGGAAATATAATTAACAGAATTAAGTTCAACAATTTAGGGGTTGGAAAGATAGTACAGAGGTAGGGTGCCTGCTTTGAAAATGGCTGACCCAGGTTTGAACCCCAGCACCCTATGAAGTTCTCTGAGCTCCACCGGGAGTAATTCCTGAGCACAGAACCAAAAGTAACCTCTGAACATTGCTGGGTGTGACCCAAAAACAAACCAAAAAATAAATAAATAAATAAAATCAACAACTTAGATAAGATATTAAAATTCTTTTAGAGACATGAACTGCCAAAGCATTTCCTTTGAAAAACCAATTCTTCTCCATAGGCAAAATCAGGTTAGTATAATATTGCAAGAGAATGAAAGCAAGCATGGAAAATTATAGAGTATAGTCATAATGATAGCTTCTAAACCCAGAAATTTTTGGTTACTTTATGATTGGATCTTTAGCAAAAAGGTATCAGTAGATTCAGAGAATATAATTTTAAATATGTCAAATGAGCTGGAAAGCATTTTACTTCCTTAATGCCTGAAAAAAATGTCACTGGGTTTTATATACTTTTAGTGTAAGATCTTAAGCAAAAAGTAATTTAAATGCAGAGAATGATACAAATGAATGATTTCTTGTATTCTCCAAAATTATCATTTTTTTGAACTGGGTTAAATATCTACAATATTGATAAATGACATAAAATAAATAGGTGAGGGGCTTTCACAAATTAACAGAACAGATAAATGAAGTGGTGGAAAAACAATCAAAGGATATTGATAAGACAATTCTCAAGGATAAAGACCTACAAATGTCTGTAAATTAAAGAGAATATTAAAGCATCTACTAGTTTAATATCTGGAACATGTCAAGTAAATTGACGGAGTTTTCAAGCTACTAACTTGACAAGTCACATAATTTAGTTATAATCCTAGCTAGTGCTGGAGCTATAGCACAGCGGGTAAGGCATTTGCCTTGCATGCAGCCGACACGGCCAACCCAAGGGGATTCCTCCACCCCCCTTGGAGAGCCTGGCAAGCTACCAAGAGTAACTCGCCCGCACAGCAAAGCCTGGCAAGCTACCCGTGACATATTCGATATGCCAAACACAGTAACAAGTCTCACAATGTTACGGGCCCGCTCGAGCAAATTGATGAAAAATGGGAAGACAGTGGCAGTGACATAGCTAGTAGGCCAGAATTAATATTTCCATAGATATGTACTGCCATGATTTGTGGTGTCAAAACCAGGTGCCATTTCAAAGGTCAAGAATTCAGGTAAGACACCACTGGCACTCATCTGCCCAGGGGAGCTCACACATGTGCCAAATGTTAGGCAGATACAAATAACGATGTTACTATATCAGAAGTAAGCAGATTTTACCTGTAAGCTTGACCTTGAAAGGGAATACAGAGGTCGGAGCATTTAAACTAGAAGATGGAGATGAAGAGATTATTTATTTACCTCTCTATGTATTTATTTGGTTTGGGGACCACATCCAGTTCAGTGCTTTAGGGCACTCTCAGAAGTGCTTGGAAAAACCTTTCAGTGCTGTCTATCAAACCCTTAGCTTCCGCGTACACTACAAGCACTCCATTCCTCCTGGTGGGTAATAGTCAGTAGAGAAGAAGCAGATAAAGATATAATAGTTAGAGTGATAGTATAGCAGGTAGGACATTTGCCTTGCATCTGGCCCACCCCACCATCCCATATGGCCCCCCAAGCACCTCCTGGAGTGATTGCTGAGTGCAGAGCCAGAAATAAGCCCTAAACATCACCCTGTGGCCCCCCTCCCTGACAAAAAAGTTAGCACAGCATGGTATAGCGCATGTTTTGCATGCAGGAGGCCTGGATTTGATCCCTGTTATCATGTGGTCCCCTTAGTACCACATGGTCCCCGGAACACAGAGCTGTGAATAGCCCAATAGCACTACCAGCTATGGCCCCCAAAGAAACAAAAACCATCAAAGAAAAAAAGGGCTATTAATAGATCCAAAGAGATCATTATTTCCAACTCCCCTCAGGAAATATATTCAAGAAAAGAAATTTTCACTGGGTTCTTGAAAGATAACTCAGTGTCTCCTTTAACTTTCCTCTTCATGCTAAGAAAAAGTCACTGCCACCTTATATAAAGTTATACAACCTGACATTGTATGTCTTTGCAACCTGAAATCCAATGTTCAAACCATTGTGTTAATTGGCATTTCAGTCTTCATTAAATAACAGATCAATGAATTGTGGTATACTACTCAGTTATGAGAAAGGATGAAATCTTTTTTTTTTTGCCGCAATATTGATGCAGTTGGAGGTTTTCGTGCTAAGTGAAATAAGTCAGAAGGATAAATAAAACACTAGACACTCACTCACACACAGTATATAAAGAAGCAAAGCAAGGGAGGAAACAAGTCCAGAGAGTAAGAATGGAGGGATGTTGGAACATGGTATGACTGAAAACCAACCAAGTACAACTTTGTGACTGTGTATCTCATGGCACTCAATTAAAAACAAAAATAAAAACAAGTGAAGTGGGGGGAAATGTTGGACTCTAAAGACAGAACAAAGATATAAGCAAGGAGGGAGTGAAAGGGAAGCATTCTACAAACAGTGGGAGAGGAATACAGGCATGTGAGTGATAGATGCTATTATGGTAATACTGTACGCCTAACACATAGAAACATTCATAATCTTATAAACTAATGTTACCTCAACAAATTAATAATAATAATAAATGTTAAGAACTGGGGAGATATCACAGGGATTAAGAAACTTGCCTTGCATTTGGCCAACCCCAATCTCATCCTTGGCATTGCATAGTCCCTCAAGAACCACAAGGGACCCCACCAAGCACAGCTTTTAGACCCCAGATATTCCAGCCCCCTAAAATAGAATAGAATTCTCAACTCACCCTTTAACCCAACAAGGGCATAACTACAAGCAAACCATATGCATTTGCAGAAACGAACGTAGCAGACTTCTTCTTTATTCACTTCCTCCCATATTTCCTTCTGCTGTTCTTAGCCCCACATGTTGAATAACTAGGGGGGAGGAAAGGAGAGAGAAGCAGGAAGATACATCCCAGATCTATGCTGTTGGCAGGATGGCTTTGCGTTTTCTGTTTATGGCAGATGTTTAAGGTGAGTTATTCTTCCTTCCCTCCTTCCCTCCGTTCCTTTCTTTCCTTCTTTCTTTCTTTCTTTCTTTCTTTCTTTCTTTCTTTTTTTCTTTCCTTTTTTCTTTCTTTCTTCTCCTTCCTTCCTTCCTTCCTTCCTTCCTTTCTTCCTTTTTTTCCTTTTCTTTTTTGGTTTACAGTACTATTAATAATGATTTCTCGTAGTTCCAATACCACACCCATCACCATCTTTCTCTCCCAAGTACCCCAACTCACCTCCCTCTCACCACCCCCTCCACCCAATTCAACTGCGTCCGTTCCCCTTTCACGATGCCTTTGGATCTGTTGCTACCTTGTTGTGTGTACATCTTTAAGTCCCACATAGAGATTATTCTGTGTCTGTCCCTTCCATTCTGACTGACTTCACTCAGCATGACATCCTCTATTTTCACACATGTACTGGGAGATGAGGAGGGAGATGTCAGAGATCTGACCAGGAGCTCACAGGGGTGAAGCATACGTTCTACCACTAGCTACATACCCAGACCTTAACAATGGCTTCATAACCTCTTCAGAGACCCAGCTGCTGGACCCAAATGTAGTTCCTTTAACATAGGATGCTACTTTTGACATACAGCTACTGATCTACCCTGACCCGCTTTTAAAAATAAGAGCTGATTCTCTGATTCCTTCTTGGAGACTCACCATCTTTTCAGGCATATATCTTGTTAAGTTAAATGACACATTTTCCTTAAGGCACCGGGTGATACTTTTAAGTTAACAAGACACTTTTATTGATAGTGCTATGTATTAAAATGTATTTTCCTTTATCATCCTGCTTATTTTATAGAGGGGATGGTAACTGTATGTATATTTGATTTCTCTTAGAAAATTTTGATGCCCCTAATTTGGAAGCTCTAAGTTCAGTGTTTTCAGAATCTTGAAGAAGATTGAGAAACATGATGAATTGATTGTGATTATGAATAAAAATGGATTAAATAATTTTTAAGTTTATTTTTTTTAAATAAACTATGGGCTGGGTTCCCAGTCTTTTCTCCTGAAATCCTTTCTAAGTGAGTTTTTCTGAGATTGACAGATTTTATTTTCACTTTATTTTGGAAATTAGATGGAATGCCCATGTGTTTTAAGTAATAACTGTAATATATTTGCCTTAAAAACTAACAAGAAACCAAAAGAACTAGAACAAAGAGCACTAATTTTGTACCCAGCTGCATGCTAAACACACAATGAATCAATTTGAACCCAAATATAACTACTATTTTCAGATGTCTTTTTAATTTCATAAGTAACACATTCTATTATGAAAAATTCAAACAATCTCAAAGTTTCTTTCCCTTTTTATAAGTATTTGTATGCATACACATATAACTTTAATATTTCACATAAATGGAATCATCACAAATGTATTATTCTATGACTTATATTTTAGTTAATAGCTTGTTTTGAAATTTTTTCCAAGTCAGTCTACAAAGCTCATTTCACTGCATAGTACTTAATAGTGGAGTGCATATAATTCATTTAATCATTTTTATTAATAGATAAATAGTTTCCCCCCAAGTTTTTACAAGCTATGCAGGAAGGAGTCATAAACATTCCGTTATTCTTAATTTTTCCATAACATTAAAAAAATCAATTGAAACAATATTTACCTGGAGTAACCGAATATCCTTTGAATCACTTTCCATATGAAATCTTGAAGTTCTTCAATTATGTAAAGTGCTTCAATTATACAGAAAAAAATTATTACAACCCATAAATAATTACAGGGTGTAATAATATATCATTTGAACAAATAGATCACTGCTACATGGACATCACCTAAAATAGTATGCTTAATAAACATCTCATGTCTCAAAATGGAACAGAGACAGATAAACTGATGAGCTGACTAATCTAACTGGGAATGCAAGCTGATTTTAGGCATGGTTTATTAGACCACTCTTTTTCTCTTTTAACCTTCCCTCCCTTTCTTCCCTTCTTCCTTTCTTCTTTCTCTCCTTCTTTCTTCTTCCTTCCTCACACTTGTGGAGATCATAACCACTTATTAAATGTGTCACAACTTTGAAATTCTGGTACTTCTATTCCCCCACAAAAGCCTATCTGTAATTATTAGGCACGAACGACCACTAAGAGGTATTTCTAATTTTCAAAACCAGTTAGAAAACTAAAGCATCCGGTTTTGAAAAGGGTTCCTCTTTGAAGCATTGACAGAATTACACTTGTCAAGCTGTTTGTTTTCCATTATAATAAAAGACGTGCATGGCATTGCGTTTCCATTGGCTAAAAGAAAACCCTGCCATGCTATTCATATTATCATGTGTTCTATAAATAGACTTTCTCATTCAGCAGAAAGGAAGCAGAAATTTGATAAGTTTTACATAAGGTAGCAAATATTCCTGTGGCTTGTGGGACAGCAAACTTAATAACCACACCAAATCTCCCTTACATATTTACTGTCCACATTAGCAGTAGTTTTTAGTTTAGTAACCTATGAAGAATATTGTAACAGAACCAAGGTCGGAAGGCATCTCAGAAGGTATTTTTAGACATCTGTGGGGTCATGTTCTGCTCTTTGCAAGTGTGAATTTCATGTATTAAAATTCAACATCCAGTTTTCCCAACTTCATGAAGTTTTTAAGGCATGAAAGGTAATGAAAAGTTCTGTGTGTGTGTGTGGGGGGGGGGGTCCCAAAAGGATACAAAACATACATTTTAACTTTAATTCCACTATTATTTTCAATAGTTACTCAAGTTGTTTACTGCTGTGACCTGGGTCCTCTGAGTCAGCAATCATAAAAGGCTTCTGTGATTTGGCAACATAAGAGCCCATAATGGAATGAACACAGAGTTATTTCCAGTTAGCACAAATACCAGGTGAGATAGCAGTCAAGTGCAGCAAGAGATAACATTCTTTATACATTTAGAAGGAACTTTATTTTAAACAGAACTTCCTGCAAGGAGAAATTTAATTTAACAATTACACTTAGAGTAATAATCATTACTGAACCAAAGATGCTTTCAGAAATTTTGGAAATGCTCTATAGACTAGAAAACAAGATGGGCTATAAAACTGACATGTCTCAGTTGTATATTTTTGAAAATTCTAATTATATTCTATAAATATCTTCATACTGACATAAAGAGCAATCCCTTTATACACTGACCAGGAAATGGTTTAAAAAGGAATGAGTGAGAGTCAGCTCAATAGGGTCAGGATTTAATCCCAGGCACCATTTCCTCCCCTGAAACACCACCCAGCATGGAAAAGGAAGAAAAAAACAAACAAGAACAACAAAAAAACCACCACAACAAAAAGAAAGGCAATGAATAAAGACCTGGTTTGTATTTAGATCCAAAAGTGCACTCAGGAAACTGAGGAAGGAGGTAGGAATTATAGAACATCCAGTAAGGTGATAGCCTTGCATGCACCTGACTCAGGATCAATCCCCAGCGCCACGTAGGGTTCCTGAAGCCCAACCAGAAGTTAGCCCTCAAGAGCACAAAGCCAGGAGTAAGCCCTGAACACTGTCAGGTGTGCCTGCCCACCTAAATAAATAAATAAATAATAGGAAGCTTTTGAATGTATTCATAAATCCATAGTATATTTTCAGACTCCTGTGGATAAGGCTCAGTGATAGAGCATCTGCCTTACAGTTGTGAGGTGCACCAGCCCACACGGCCAAGCACAGTTCCTGAAGCAAAGTCATCAGGATCCCTGGTACCACCACAAGTGTGTGCTTTTCTTTGCCTGGCAACCAATGTGTCCCCACCTCCTCTGCATGATAATAACAACAAAAGAGAAAAGAGAAGGGAAATACACATTTTTTAAAATTCTAATTTGACTGGTTTAAAATAATCTCTTAGTAACTATCCAAGTTCCTCCCTTTCTAATTTGCAAATCATAAAGGCTTTCTCAAATTTTTATTGTAAGTGTTCCAATATTCAATTGTTCAAAATGGGCATTTAGAATGATTTTATTACTTAGATAGGAAATTTTTGTGTATTGAGTTTTCAGCATATGGAATTTATTTGATTGTTGGTCAGTGGCAGCCTTGAATTGGATCATTAAAGGTTCAAGTTCCACTCAGTATTCACTGTGATCAAGGTTTGCCAAATATTCTCTATTAACCCCTTGACTACTTCCATTTTTTAAATTTTATTTATTTATTTATTTATTTTTTAATTTTTATTAGTGAGACACCATGAGGTACAGTTGTAGACTTACAAATTTTTGTGCTTGGGTTTCAATTATACAATGATCAAATACCCATCCCTCCACCAGAGCCCATTTCCCACCACCACGGATCCCAGTATCCCTCCTCCCCACCCCCCCCATCCCACCTTGCCTCTGTGGCAGGGCATTCCCTTTTGTTCTCTCTCTCTTATTGGGTGTTGTGGTTTGCAAAAGAGACAATGAGTGACAATCATGTTTGGTCTATAGTCTACTTTCAGCATGCTTCTCCCATCCTGGGAGAACCCTCCCAACACCCTTCATTTGGTGCTCCCTCCTCTATCTGAGCTCCCTTTTTCCCTAGCATGTGTGGCTGGCCTCCAAGCCATGGAGCAAAATTCCTGGTACTAATCTCGGCCATTCTTGGGTGTTAGTCTCCTACTTTGTTACTTTATGTTCTCCAGATGAACACGATCTTTCTATGTTGACTACTTCCATTTTAAAAATAAGAAATGTCAAGTTATAGAACCAAAAATAAATAATTAAATAATAAAGATTTTAAAGAATAAGTTCGCACTCTGTTACTTGCTAGCTACATGGTGGTGGGTAAATTATTTCTGCATGCGTAATCAATTTATATTTAATTTTTTAAAATACAGTTTAGGTAACATGATTACAAAAGTGTTCAAGTTTGTGATATTGATGCACAAATTTACTGCATTCCACAACCATGAAATTGCTATTCTCTGCCAGTGTCTATATATTTATATATATATATATATATTTTTTTTTTTAAGGCAGGTGGTGGGGATGTTGAACCAACATCAGCCTGGTATAAGGAAAGCACCTTACCCCCGTGTTATCTCTCTGGTGCCTATAATCAATTTTTTTTGTTTTGTTCGTGCTTGTGGGTCATACCTGGTGAGGCTTAGGGCTTACTCCTGGCTCTGCACTCAGGAATTACTCCTGGCATCACTCTGGGGGAGCATCTGGAACGCCAGGGCTGTGCTATTGCTCCAAACCCTGTAATCAATTTTTTAAAGCAGGAAGTAATGACAGCATCTATCTAAAAAGTCTTTCCAAGATGAATTAGTATATGCAAAGTGATTATGGCAATGCCTGGCACGTAGTAAGCAAATAACAAATACTAACTTTTATCATCTCAAAAACTAATAATGGTTTGTAAGCAAGAAAAGGGAGCTCACCAGGCAGAGTGCATTATTTGACATGTAGGAGGTACAACATTCAGACATTCAGTTCCTCTGTACAGAGAGAATGGTTTGGGTCTAACACAAATTGGCAGGTTTTAAGGAGACTACATGTAGATGAGGGAAGGAAGACCAGTATAATTAGGATCAGAAAAGCAACTCAAAGTGACTTTAAGACCACATAAAGAAATGTTACTGCAGGAACCATGTTAAATCGACCAATTTACAGGTAAACAATACAGCGGGACAGAGCTATAGTACTGCTGTTGGGCTTTTGCTTTGCATGTAGCCGATGGAAGTTATATCCCCAGAATCCCATGCGATTCCCCAGGCCCACCTGAGCACAGAGCCTGTCCTGAGCACAGAGCCAGGAGGAAACACTAAGTACCACTGGGTATGGCCCCCCAAAACAAAACAAACAAAAAGCAATACACCATAAACGAACTTAGCTGTGTGGGTATCATGTAAAAACTACATTTTGTGAGGTTGACCATCTCTTCTTATCCCACAATATTTTTCCAGTAATCTGGATCACCCCAAAGGACTATACAGTTGGATCAAATCATTTTCCCCGATTCCTCTTAGTTGATTTTGGACCACTCAATCTCCATCTCTGTCTCCTTTCCTGCTGCGTTTCATTTGATCCTGTTTTCCCTTCCCCCACAGAAACAATATTTTTTTGTTTCACTGTTCTTGTTCCTATAGTTTTCTAGTTTACTTTGCCAAGGTCATTTAGGGCCCTGGATGATTTTCTCTGGGGATTTTAGTTTTATCAATTTGATTGATTCTCTTCCCAGCTCTCTTCCCGTCATTGTTGCTGTTGATAAGATGGGGGGGTGGGGGGGAGGGATACATACACCTGGCTCTGATTTTCCCCAGGAGTTGCCCAACGGTCTCAGCTGCAGAGCTCACCTACGCTGGCACTCATTTAGTTGTGGGGCTTGCACATGGATGCTCTACCTCTCCCACTCTTAGTTAAGGCTCCCAAGTCAGTCTGGACATTGCTGGAGGAATCACACATGTGCTCACCAGAGGTTGCACTTCCTGGCATGGTACTCACCCCTTTTCATTGCGGTGCTCACCCAGGATGACACTCCTCCTTAGGGTGCTTGTACACAACCAGACAACTAGTTCTGGTGCTACAAGAGATGCCTGGTAATACCAATAATCAGGAGAAAAGAGCTGTCAGGAAGCAGAACTTCCCAGATTGTGCATGGTGCACGCGGAACACTGGGGATTTGAACCTGTGACCATCTGCTTGCAAGACAGGTGCTGTAGGCCCCCTTGTGCCTTTCCTCTGAGTCTTCTGCTTTATCAACCTTATTCCACAATTTCTACCTCATCTGAAATGATCGCCTTGAATAATCTTATTATATATTATCCAGAACATTCGTGAATTATTTGGAGGTTCTGGAAGGGGAGTGCAGCTACTCATATACCTTCGACCGAAGACCAGTCTGTCTCTATTCCGGGAAGGCCGTTCTCTTCAACCTAGCACGCAGCTTCGGGAGGGACGCACATGGAGCGGTGAGGGAGGAAGGGGACACCTGCCTAGCCAGCCAGATCAGCCGAATCAACCCTGGCAATCAATGGGGTGACAGATGTCACAGCCAGATCGCCCTCACATACTATAGCATAGTGGTAGGGTGTTAGCCTTGCTCGCAGCTGGCATGGCAGAGCTAGGTTCGATTCCTCCGCCCCTCTTGGAGAGCCCGGCAAGGTACTGAGAGTATCTCACCGGCACGGCAAAGCCTGGCAAGCTCCCCATGACATATTTGATATGCCAAACACAGTAACAAGGAGTCTCACAATGGAGATGTTACTGGGCCCGCTCAAGCAAATCAATGAACAACAGGAGGA